ATGCTCAGTAAACAGAAGCTCTTATTGTTGACAGTCATAATATAAAATAAAATAGAAAAAATGTTGGGAAAGGAGTAATTATATCTGCCTGAAGATATCAGGGAAGGCTTTAAGGAGAAAGTAAGCTCCAAATCTCTTAGCAAAAGAGCTCTGTAGGAGTTACTCAGGAAAGCAAGAAGTCCAAGTATTCCAGGAAGAAGAAACTTGATGTGCAAAGATATGGAGACAGTTTCGTATCTTGATGCCCATTCCCACCTGTTTGGTGGACATTGCGCACATAATAAGCATTCACCTAATATCCCATGTGCTCTCCCAGCTTGCCTTGCAGTTAGATTAGGTACATGATATTGGATGCTAATCAGTGAATCAGGAAGAGGCAATGTAAGTGACATCCTGTGTGAAACTCCACCTCTCTTTTTCCTTGCCAGGTTGATCTAGGAGTCTATATGCTGAGGTGGTTGAATCACAGGTTTGATGGAGCCTGTATCCCTGTGTCTGAGAATGGAGGAGACCCTTCACTGGAGTGCACTAGGCCCTGCATGAGCAATAAAAACTGTGTGTGTGTGTGTGTGTGTGTGTGTGTGTGTGTGTGTGTAAGCCACTGAGATCTCAGAATATGTTGTAGCAGCTTGCATCACTTATCCTGATTAAAGAATACAGCTTCTCTATAACCCCTCCTTTTTACCCTAAATACTGAACATGTGATGTTCCCATTCAACAGCTGCACAGATTGAACAAAATTAAGAGTGTAAATTAAGAGCGATAACAACCCATCCAGTAAACCATTAGTTAAGATGAATTCTTGGGCAACCATGTAAATACCTATACTCTATCTTCTCACTGGTGGAAAATAATTCAGTCCTTCAATAGTCAACATCAGAAGATATTTTCTGTCCAGTAATTCATTAAGTGCTAAGTATTAATTGCAAGATTTCCAATAACACAGATGGTTCATGAATAGAAAATAGGCACAAAGCACAATATATTCAAAATAATTATATTGTTATGGCTTTGGAGTGCACTGAAGCTATTAAAATATAATTTTTAAAAAGTGAGAACAGAATGAGAATGTGATTTTACAGACATAATTTGAACTAGTCCAAGTACTTTTCACTATGTGCAATTACTTGTAACTATAATTTAGAGGATGTGGCACAGCTAACATATAGTAAAATTAGATTTATGAAGCTTTTCCTAATGTGCAAACAAAAAAATAAAAGTGCATAATCACTTCATTCATCACAATTCTTATAAACCTATGCTAACCAGGGGAATGTGATATACCATGAATCACTTAGAAGATAAAACCAAATAAAAATAAAAGTTTGTGCTAATAATCCTTCACAAGGAGATTAAGTGATTGTATCTAACAGGATCCAGCCAGGAAAGCAGAAACTATCATTCATACAGAGATAATTCACTACAGGTGCCTGTTATCCCGACCAGGGCATGGGTAATGACGAATCTGAGAGTAAAGCAACATAACTTCATAAATTGTTGGGGGGAGTGGGATCCAATTTTGTGACCACTGACACTATGTAGATGTATATCTTTTAAAAAACTTTCACTTATTCTGTGAATTATATATTAACATCTTTAAGATAAAAATCTATGAATCAAATAACTAGGTGATATGCCCAAGTCACCAGCTGGCAAGTGACAGAGCTGGTATTTGAACTGTTTGACTCCATATAGAGAATCCCACCTACCAAATCCTGTGGCAACAGGTAAGGGGAGGAAGTTATTACATATCAAATGTGGACACTATCCCTAACTCTGCATTTCCATAATAATGTGAACAATTACTTTCATTAAAAAATGGCTATCATCAACAAGACAAAGAATAAGTGTTGGAGAGGCTGTGGAGAAAAAGGAACCCTCATACACTGTTGGTGGGAACGCAGGTTGGTGTAACTGCTGAGAAAGGCAGTGTGGAGGCTTCTCAAAAAATTAAGAATATAATTACCATATCACCCAGCAATCCCTCTCCTGGGTATTTACCTGAAAAATCTGAAAATGTTTATCCGTAAAAATATATGTGTTCTGATGTTTATTGCAGCTTTATTTACAGTGGTCAAGACATGGAAACCAAAGTGGCCTTAGATAGATAATTGGATAAAGAAGATGTGGTATGTATACACAATGGAATATTATTCTGCCATGAGGAAAGATGAAATAATTATGCTAAGCGAAATAAGTCAGACAGAAAAACTGAGAACCATATGATTTCACTGATATGGGGGATATAAAACTGAAAACAGCAAAGGAACAAGACAAATAAAGAAACAAAAACTCATAGACACAGACAATAGTTTAGTGGTTACCAGTGTGTAAGGGGGAAGAGGGTGGTAAATGAGGGTAAACGGGAACAAATATATGGTGATGGAAGGAGAACTGACTCTGGGGGGTGAACACACAATGTAGTATAGAGATGATATATTACAGAATTATCCACCTGAAACCTATGTAACTTTACTAACAATTGTCACCCAATAAACTTTAATTTAAAAAAAATCAACAGCACTATCCCAGGCTGTAATATTATATCCTCATTAACACAAAGTGTGTCACTGAAATAAGGCTTAGCTATGCATGATGGAGCACATTCTACACACCGAGGATGCCACTTGCTTAAATAATAAGGAAAAACCTCATGTCTTCTTTTCACAACCAAGTTTGTAACGTCAGTCTCAGAAATAACAAAATGTTATGTTTCTCAACTGACATTTTCAGGTTTTATATTCTGCTTGTCCTTTTTCCCAACTCGAAGTTGCAAATATCTTCCAGAAGAATATTTGGAGATGGATTCCATTAATTATCCAAAATTAATTTTTTTGTTAAGAGATTTTTAAGAAAGATTATTTGCTCAGCATTCTGAAAATAAGACTTTTGTCAAAGGGATCACTGGATCCAGAAACTAGGGCTTATTTATTTATAAGACACTGAATTAATACAGGATTTGAACACCTGCTAAATCCACAGACATTCTAAGGGCTTCTCTGAGGAACAATCAACTTCTAAGGAGTAATGATGGAGTTCAGTGAAATTTGACAGAGCTGGACTATTAGTCAAAATGTCCTCTTTCCAGAAAAATTCTGCCATGAAAGAGTGTGTAGCTCTTTCATTTGAGCTACCTGGTGGGGTTTTTCCCTGCACAGGAAAAAAGTTAGCTCTACAGTATAACATATCTCTGACTCCATGCCCGTTTCCTTTCCTCAGTTGCTACCTCTGTTACTTGACTGGGGCTCTCAGGCATCAAGTTCCATATGTATATAAGTTATTGAAGTGTGATAGGGTCATTGATCTGGAAGGAACCAGCTCCCTCATTATGGAAATGGAAAATGGTTTAACGATAGTTAAAATTAGTTGTAGAAAATAACAGGCTGTTTAGGAATATGCTTCCCTACATCTACTCCTGGGTGTTTTTTACACCACAATCCCATTTTAGGCATTTTGGTCACACAACTTCCAATTAAATGTAATTAGAAAAATTAAATTTTGTTGTTGTTGCCATGCAAGTTCCTCTATTGGGCTATCATTCTTTAACTTAAGTTTCCATTGAATCTTACTGTAACACCTCTGCTGTTTGGGTTTTCCAATTTAATTTTATTGCCCTTTCTTTTACTCCTCCTTAATCTCTTTGACTCTGTTATAATTAGTTTTATTGCAAAGAATTTTTTTTTTTAGTGAATACAGTACAAAACATGTCTGGTATTAATTCATAGTACATACTTCTATTTCTCCAGTACAGATGCTCTTTAGTATAGGTAGACATATTTTAAACTGAGGTGTTGGGGGTTTTTTGGGGGGTGTGTGTTTCCTGAGAAAAATGGTTTTCCTTTTAATATATTTATTATTACATGTGTCACAAAAAATAAGTTAAAAATTTAAAGCACAAATATATTTGTAAAAGCTACAAAATTATATACTAGAACATGCTTTCAAAATAACTAACTTTTATTTTAAGAAGCAAATCTGAGGCCTATGATTCAAAAATGGCATGGCTATGTTTTATTCATTTTTCAAATGGCTCTTTTGATAAATTATAAATGCCAGTTTTCTCAAGTGCACTAAGAAATTTTCTTACAAGCATTTTCAGCTAAGACATATGCACACACGCCTCTAGCAGCCACCAATGAACTTGCTCAGAAATCTAGTAGAATGATGTCTTTACCTCACACAGTCAGCTTCACTTGGACAAACTCATATGTCAAGATTACAGTTTTAAATCCCAAAGGTACTGACCATTATATATTGGACCATTGATTAGTCAGACTTTTTAATAAAATAGGTCTCAATGCTCAAATTATAGTTCTCACCATTCTCTAATTGCTAAGTAATCCCTGAGTAAGGGGTACTCCTGGGACACACACATACACAAGGGCTTGACTTATTTTTTAAGGACACCATCCAATGAAAGTAAGAAATACGCTCCTTCTTGAAGTTTTCATCACTCCTTGTTTTCATGAACTATTAATGCAATGTGGTAGGAACTGGTTTAATTAACAGGTAATAGCAGCAACAACTATCGGTTCTGCTGCTTGCTTACAATGACCGAAAAAATTCCACAGTAATCAGATTCCTTCCTCAAGTCTGAAAAATGCTCGTAAATGCAGACCCAACACATTTAGGGGAAGTGCTCACAAAGATTTGCACCGAAATATACGGTTTATGAGCCTAGGCTGAAATAAGTGAAGTAGTTACCACTGGCAACTTAATAACTACCGGCTCAGGGAGAATTTGATAACGGTTGAGATAGTAAGTGAAAAGTCTAAATTAGAGAAAAAGGTCTGAGTATAACGCCTGAAGGATGAATAACACAATAAATGGTAAAACAAGCCAAGAAGGTCACAAGCCAAAAAGTTGAAGAACTGTTTTGGGTGGAACAGGAGTTGGATCATGGCATGAGGTTGTAGGCCATCTAGGAGTGTACGTGGTTCTGTGCTGTGAGTGAGTCTGCATGCTTAACGAGTTCAGGAGCAAGGCAGATGATCACTTACCATCACTAAAGAGCTCAAGGACTCTTCCTGCTGACAAGTTCACAGCGTCTCTAGCACAGCCCTTCTGAGTGTCCTCTGTAGTAGCTGCTGACAAACATTTAGTCATTCATTACGTAAGAAACGGATGACGCTAGAAATGCTCCCTGCAAACCAAAGAGAAAAGAATAATATCCCATTAGGAGAATGTTCTATTATACTATTACTACCAGTAATTAGTTATGGACACCCCATTTCAACAGATGAAACCCCTATATCCTTATCTAACTGCAGTATATGTTCCATTACCTCGCTTGAGTCTCCTGGTTTCACAAATAGAAATGATACTATCTACTATAAAAAAGCTCACTGTAGACTGAAGAACAAAGGACAGCAACTTGTCTGTTCCCCTTCCCCCAATCCCCCAGCACTGTTCCGATCCCCCAATTCCCCAATAAAACTCTTAAAAAAAAAAAAGCTTATTGTAGGGACTGGCATATAAAAGGTTCTAAACACGTAAGTTATTTTTCCTCTTTCATTTGGTTACTCATATGGAACCGAAAGTTAGAGAGAGGATGAAAATAAATTGGAATGGAGAATACAAAAAAGTAAGGAACACTGAAAATTCCAAATGATAAGAATGTACGCTTGAAAAGAAACAGAATAAAAGAATATGATGTTATGACAAAGGAAACAGTAACTAGAGGAAAATACATAGAATGATAAATAAGTAAATGGGAAAAAAAGAAGCAGACACAGCAAAGTAAAGAAAATGTAAAATTAATAGTTATTTCTTATATAAGGAGGATTTACAGGAATGGTTTGATTTACTGTATATCTTAACTAGTTAGATAAAATTCATCTAAAAATACATTTTTCCATAACACAGAATGAGGTATCTGAAAAATCTTTGGCATTAGAAAGGGCAAGGAGAAAGAAAACAGGACAAAATATAGAAAAAAAGTTATTTAGAAACTAACTCCATGATGACCGTAAATTCTAAAGTGCATGAGCTTTGCAGCTGCGGGGAATTCCAAGGTGTCTCAGAAGATGTACTGGAAATTTGTGTAAGTTATGGAATCTTTGTAACAATTCCCAAATAGTTACAAGTATCCAGGGGGAAGATATACCAGAGTTTTCAGATGTTCAGCTCTATGGTCTTGTGTCAAGGACGTCTGCTCCATTTTATTGCATTCTTAATTGAAAATCAGTAACCCAGCACTGTATCAAAACCTTCCCAGCACTTACTGTTCCCACTTTCCTTCAGTGGTGCATGAATAATGAAATTGAAATAAGTACTGCTTACCTCACCACAGCTCAGCAACTTGAAAACTATCAAAGTATTTTAGGAAGAAAAGTGGTTTGTTTTCCCAAAACTTTAAGAAATTACAAAACATGAAGTACTGAGATGGGAAACATTTACATGTGATAAGGAAGATCATTAGCACAATGAGGTAGCAGTGATGAAATTGGGGAGTGAAGGGGCAATATCAAGTCAAACAACCTGTCCTTTTGTTCTCATATTGTCAAGGTTTATAACCTCCTAATTTAAAGATGCATGCTTAAAGATTGTGTCTTCCATGATGCCACATAAAATTTAGTCATTCTAAGCATTGGTAATTACTAGCACTTGACCACCTTTTAAGTAGTATTTGTTTCTTCAAATCCTAGGAATAATGCCAAAAAGATGTACTGTTCAACTTTGCATAATCTTGTTTTTACAAATTGTGGTAAAATATACATAACATAAAACTTACTACCGTAACCATTTTTAAGTATACAGTTCGGCGATGTTAAGTACATTCACATTGTTGGGCAACCATCATGACCATCCATCTACAGAACTCTTTTCATCTTTTCAACTAAAACTCCATATCCATTAAACACACACACACACACACACACACACACACACACACACACACACACACAAACAAAAAAGCAAAACAAACAAAAAAAACCTCCACATTTCCGCCTCCTCCTAAGCCTCTGATAACCACTATTTTACTTTTTTACTTTCTGTGTCTGAATTTGACGACTCTGGTTACCTCATGTAAGGAGAATCACGAAGTCCTTGCCCGTTTCTGATTGGCTTATTTCACTTAGCATAGTGTCCTCAAGGTCCATCCAAATTGTAGTATGTGTCAGAATCACCTTCTTTTTTAAGATTAATCTTCCATTATATGTATACATCACTTTTATTATTTTTTAAATCTATCCATTCATTGATGAGCACATTGTCGGCTTCCACCTTTTGGCTGTTGTGAATAATGCTACAATGAACATGGGTGTACAAATATCTCTTTGAGATCCTGCTTTTGTTTAATATTTACTTTCTCTCTCTCTCTCTCTCTCTCTCTCTCTCTCTCTCTCTCTCTCTCTCTCTCTGGGACTGGACAATAATGTACTCTCTATTATCCTGGATTTCTAGACATAAGAAAGGAGCACAATATCAGAATCTCACTATGAAATTTCAACAACAAAAAAACAGTGGCTAGGCTTATTACTAAAATATAAGAGACTAGAGTTCTCTATACATTTTTTAATACATTTCTCAGGTTTTAATTACACATACTGACTGCTAGGTCTTTGCCTCAGGACTACTGATGAGCTAGATATAAGATCCATAACAAGTGTGCAAAAGGTGCTGCGGGAGTTATTTGTGGGACATTATTTTCACTACTAACATTGGAATGTTTCTAAAGAAGGCTGAGTAAAAGTTTTCTAGGCAGTTAAGCAGAATCCAAGAAAAGGTGTCCTTGACAAAAGGCAATGATATGAACAAGGGAGGATTAAATCACTTTGGAGAATTAAGAATAAAGAACAGACTATGATGCCTAGAAAATATGCTACAAAGCAAAATGCGTGTGAGATACTAGTCTGACATGGTGTAAATGATCTTGAATTCCATGTGGACTTGTTCTAGCTCAGATGCTAAAAAGTTAATATTTCAGTATGGCAGAAATCTATTTTTACTCACATACAGTTCTAATACGGTGCAATTCAGATGAGCAAGGCCGTTTTTCATGTGGTTATTCAGGGATGTAGGACTCCGTGAAAACTCAGAGCCTTGTCACTCCCACTCAGTTCTATCAGTCAGAACTAAGACATATGGCCCCACCTAAATAAAAGAGAGGGTTGGGTATGTGGTGTAGCTGTGCACCAGAGTGCAAGGGAGCATGATTTACGTTAAAGTACATGTATGTAACACAATAAGCAAAATGGAGCTCTGGACGTTTGTTTACGAGCTGGGAGTGATTGGAGCAAAGTCAAGTCAGCGAGGACATCTGTGCTCTGTACAATGCAGCAAAAGGGCTGATGGGACTCTATGAAGATCTTTTCCTCTGTTGATCTCAGTGTGGAAAATGATGGATCAAATGCCTCTGGGTTCTCCCTCTTGTCCCTGAACCAATAGCATATGGTGACTCTCATACAACCAGCATCAAATAATTAGATATTTTACTAAAACATCCATCATCAGTGCTCCTGGGAAGCTAATTTTGAGTCCCTTTTCAACACAGGCACAGCTGATCTAACTATTTTATAGTCCAAGTTTCATGTTGAAATGGAAAAGAAAGGAATTGTATCTCCTCTGTGACATGCCTAAGGATAAAAGAGCAGAAGGGAATTTGATCCTACTGAGGAGTTGATTGCATTTTCTTTTTTTTTTAACCTGTATGACATTTTGACAATTGCTTTTGCTGTAACTTTTAAAAAAGAAAAAAAATAGGTTAAATTTATTATGCTTTTGGAGCTATCATTTACCCATCTGTAAACATCTGGACACACTTCCACTCAGGCTATTAGAAAGCCTTCAGTATCCTCCTAAGACATTAAAAAATTGAATGTATTTGTCTAGAATAATATAAAAAAATTGTAATGGATCAAAGAATAATAAAACCTTAATACAGGATAAACTTTAGCTGTCCCCTCAATCAAAATGAGTACCTTTGGCACCATTACTGACAAGCAAATATGTCAGAAAGCTTACTGTGAGTGAACCCAGTGATCTTTGAAGAACTCTAAATGTCATAATGGTTAGGTGACAATACTAGTCAAGACATAAGGTATAATTCCAAAATAGCAGTAGTAGTGAAAGAGGAACAGGGAGATTTGAAAAACTGCATCCCTTCCTCCATTCACGGCTAGAGCGATCATTAAGTCTGGGTGGTTCAAATAGTCATACATCTGTTTAATTGCTTCGTTTGTTTTAAATAATTGAAAATATATCAATTATATAGATATAGATAGATATAGATATATCTTCAGACCTTGGTGCACTCTATTAATGGAAGGCATGTATGGGAAAGGTAAACAATTATACAGTTCCTCCACCTGGTATTTAAAACAATAGAATTCATGATTTTTGAAGTATGTAATATGTATGGGGCATGGTGATTTCTGGTAAATTCCTGATTGAGTTAATGGTGACTCCATTCCTTCAGTTAGGTAAGCCCAAAAATGTTGGGACTCATATTTGACATATCTTTCTCTCACAACTCCAATGCAATCCACAAGTGCACAATAAATGTGTCAAATGACATGAATCTTAATTACACAATGTATTAGCTTTGGAACATTGAAGAAAATTAATTAGAACTCCAAACTTCAATCTTTTCCTTATATAATGCAAGTAATAACGATAATAACAGTAAGAATAAGAACAAGCTCATCACGTTGATGGGATTGTAAAATACGCTAATATATAAAATCTTATCTATTTAGCAAATAATGGCCATTTAAAAAAATATTGGTTCTAAACTTTGTCATTTATTTTAAACTTTTCTCTTCAAAACTCCCCACCTCCAACACAATCAGTTTAAATTTTAATAAGTTCAGCCACTATAAAAACCTATCCTTTCCCAATCTTGAGAGATGCAATACATCTCTAAGCCAAACCCTACCACTAAAACATTAAAGCATAAGAGCATATATCAAACCAGGTTATTTGTTACATTTGTTATCCTTCCAGAGCCTCTCCGCCCCCCCACCCCCCACCCCCGGTAAGTTATGTTCTTCAAGTGGACTAGGAGAAGCCCACTCCATTAGTTTATGTGCAGTCCAAGACTTCAGGTGCTTTATGACTTAGTTCAGACATGATCATCTCAATTTCTAAGAACAAGTAGAGAAGGGACACAATCATCAAGGTGAGAAATACAGAAGGCCC